TTTATTTTGAGATAACGGCGTCGTTGCCACTATCCAAGAACAATACGGGACAATTATAGATTTCGTAGGCCCTCTAATCTAATTCCTGTATAAACAGGCCGAGGGCCCTTTTCTAAATTAAATCCCATTTCAAGTCCAACAGATACGGTTGAATTAAAGCACAACTTTAGAAAAAGAGACCTTCACAGATAATGAATCTGCAATAACACATCGTCCCCTAACTCTGGCCAAGCAGACGAGCGCCAAATCCCTCCCTTCACTCCCTGCCTCTCCTGGTGCCTGTCACGAGCGTGTCGGGGCTCTGCGGTTGTCCAAATCTGGTGCCATTTGCTTAGATTTTGGTGCACTGAAGATGTAGATGCCCTTGATGGTTGGTTACCGTGTTTTAAGGACTTAGTGTGTCCCCCCAAAGTGTCCCAAAGTCCTAAACACTTTGGGAGCGAGCAGAACAACGTCCTGTCACCAAGGGCAGCAGTTTTGTCACTTAAGTCCCATGGGACATGGATGCATGTGCTGTTCCAAGCACAAGACTTCCAGTGCAGAAGCCTTGTGAAGAGTTTGATGACTCCCATTTTCTCCAGGGTTGCACAGAAGGAAAAACCTAGCCCACAAAAAAGTGCCTGTTTAGCATTCTGAAAGACAAGCAACAACTGTTGTATTTATATATTTAATTTTTAATTAAAAAATAAAGGTTATCTTAATACATCTTTTGCAGCCTTTGGGCAAAACTACACCCTTAACAAGACTTTATGAAACATGATGCACATCTATTCTTGGCACACATGTTAAAAACAAACACAAACTTTCTCCAGCAACTTCTTAAATCCATCATTCTCCCCAAACCCTGAAAACATATAAATGCTTAAAAAAAAAAACTACAAAAATTAGACATGGGCCCAAAGCAAAAATCCCAGATCCAAGCATCCCAAAGCTTTTGGAGCAGACTCAAATCCAAACCCTCATCTCATCCAAAATGTCACCCTGGGTCACTGCAAATTCACCCAGCAACCAAGAGATACGGGATGTGAACGCTGACCCGGGTACAAATCTCGCTTTGGACACTTGGATCTTTAAATCCAAAGCAAACCCATGGCTCTGGGCACTTCCCTAAAAACGTTTAAGTCGGGCCCATCCTTAACAGAAGTAAGTGCTGGTTACATGAGGAAATGGTGCTGTCAGAGCCCCCAGCTTCTGAGCAATCCCGGATTTTCCATCCATTTGCGCTACGTTAAAAGGCAAGGATAAAGCCAAGCGAACCCCTCCAACAGTCCTAGCCCTACGCGTCGCTTCCCGCATCCAAGGGCTGTCTCCGGTTTTCCAGATGCTCCGGAAACGTGTCCGAGCCTCCGCCGCTCTCCGTGGGGAGGGACAGGTCCTCGCCGCTCCCACGGGATGTCCCACCGGAGCATGGCTGATTCCCAAAGGCACAAAGTGACCAAGCTTTCGACTCGTACACAGGTCTACATATATATATATTTATATATATATGTACACACACACAATTACATACATATTTAAATATATATATACACACACATATATATATATTTGGTTTGCATTTTCCTCTTTTTTTACTTTTTTTCCCCCCTTTTCTTCCCCTTTTAACTTAATGGTGTCGTCTCCTCTGAGGGGGTCTCTGGTATATGATCTGGAGTCTTCTCTACCTCCAAAGAGGCTCCTGGCTTCTCCTCTGTTGATGTAGGCTCCTCGGGTGCTTGAGATCCCTCCAGCTCCTGACTTTGAGCCTGGCTGTTCATTTTCTCTTCTGCTTCGATTTCCTCCGAGGTGGGAATGGAGTTTTTCTTTGGACGGCCTTTGGGCTTTGTGGGAGCTTCCTGCCCACCTTTCAGCACCTGGAGCAAAGGGATTTGCAGTCAAGATCAACTTGAACTCCACATCCTTTAGGTAGCAGGATGAGGTCTGCTCTGGGCCTCAGAGTCCATCTGTGATTTAGGCACCATGGCAGTTTCATAGAAATGCCCTGCATTTATAGAGTGACTTCACCCATTACTTCACACAAATAATACAAAACACAAACTATACCACAAAGGACATCAAGAACAGAAGGACAGCAAGAAAAAAGCAAAATTCTGGTATAAATGGACACAGAGCACCGACATTATGCTCAGGTTCAGAATCCATCCCTTTGAAAACAGCTTTTCAGGAGCCCATGCAAGTGGTAACGAACCACTTACCATTTTCTTCCACTTCATCCTACGGTTCTGGTACCATGTCTTCACCTGGAGCTGCGTGAGCCCCAATGACTGGGCTAAGTCCAGCCTAAGAGACAAGACAGACACTGAAATAAGTTGAGAGCAGAAAATCTAAGACTGTAAAGAGATACAGCAGTGAGACTGTGGAAGAGATGTTTACGTGCTCCTCCAATCTGTTGTTTCCAGTGCAGAGAGAAGTGGCAAATCACTGTGTATTTAGGATGCCCTGATGGATGCTCTTATGGAAGAAGAATATTTTCATGTTCATCGCCCTCTTCTAGGAAACTGGCTACCTCATTAGTTCTTGTTTCTCCTCTGCAACCACTGGAGAAAAGGAGCAAGCCCAAAAGCTTCACAAATTTGTCTGTCTTGTTTGAAACACAAGAATGGATTGATGCTCCACATGTGTTTTTGAAGGACAGAGCCACCAGCAAAGCAGGCCTGCAATGTCTGAAGCAAACACGTGAGAACCAAGACACCCAGCGTCAGTCTGCCTTTGAAACTGTTGATCTTTGCCTCACTCTTCATCTTCTCTATCTACATAACAAGGATTAGGAGACTTTTTCACTTCGCAGGAAATTATGGCACATCTAAATCTATTAATTTTGAACGCCTTCTGCTATTATATGCAATTCAGAAAAGCTTATAAATTATTACTTGCATGTTTACCTTAAGGGTGTATGTGGCAAACAGCCCATAAACCTGATTCACCCTCCACAAAACTCCAAACTGTGGAAGCTCATCTGTAACCATTCATTATTTCTATATTAAAAACCCCAGATATGAAGCAAATTCAGCCCAGAGTTCAAGCCTTTATCCTACCCCACAGGTGACACACCGTGCATCACCAGACGCACGGTGGTGATGGAATTGCACAAGGGATGGAGCTGGAAGTGCTTGGAAAAGCCAGGCGAGTGCCGCGTCACGCAAGATCCGCAGGTGGGACAGCTCCAACGCAGGAGTCGCATTCCGAGGTGTTCTGGATTATGTGAACTTTCTGGCAAATATTTCTCAGGCTTCGGATGGGGAAACACATTTGCCAAGGCCAGGTTTTTCATAATAAAACTCTTGTTTCAGCTGGGCTTCTAGGGCAGTCAGACAGACTCTCATATTTACCGATACCCACACGCCCCACACCAGCCCTCGCTCCTCAGGGATTCCAGCTTTGGAGTCACTCCGGACCCACACAACGCCTGTGAGATGGTCCCACGGAGTTACAGACACCGCGTGCAAACCTATCCCAAACATCACCCCATCGTTGCGCGCTCCTTCACTGCTAACGATCCAGGTGCTTCGCTTGCCCTCCAAGCGGCACGATCTTGTGTCCAGGCCAAAAGCAGCAGGAGTGGATGCAAATAACAACCCATTGCTTCACCATCACGTTTCCAGCCATGAGGTCACGCAGAGACACTCTGCTTGGCTAACTCTTGCCCGAGCACCCATGTCTTATCACACTCTACGTGCTACCAGCTACGATCCCTTGCCACCCGTGTTAGCATAACCAGCATTGCCTAGGAACCAGGGAAAACAAACAGAACTAGAGGGGAAGTGGTGCCCAGACAGGAATTGCTCATCGGTCTTGAAACCCAACAAAGCCAAGGAACAGTCATAGCTCTAAATTAATTTAACAGCCCTGAGTGCCTCATCAACTCTGTCATCCGTGTAGTTTTGTGAAGCGCTGAGGAGCAGCACAGGAGCATGAGGAGCTCCGAGACTGCAGGACAAGGATCCTGGTGATCCTCCAAACTTAAATATCACATCAGCGGGCTGACTATCCCTCGCATCCTTCGGTCACTGTCGGCGGCGTTTCCAAACTGTAGGAAGGTAATTACTGCTCCAAGTCACCAGTCACTATTAAAAGGGGCTGCTAAGGTAATGGCAGGAAACCAGAACGTATCCTGGAGGAAGTCACATACATCCTGCAAGGCAAAAATGACTCCAGGAGGTGTAGATTGGAAAAAAACTGCTCTGTGATGGACAGCTTGCACCTCCCTCCCCAGCCCAGCAAACCCCTACCTGTCCGGGGTGGAGAGATACTTCTGCTTCTGGAATTTCTTCTCTAAGCCCATGAGCTGGAGCTCCGTGAAGATGGTCCTGCTCCGGCGGGGCTTTTTCAAGCGCGGCGTGGGCTGCTCGGCCTCCGACTCGCTGCTGCCGTGGGTCTCGGCGGCCGGGGGCTCCGAGGAGGCTGGGGCAGGCAGCGCCCGGGAGCTGGTGGCCGCGGGGACGAGGTGAGGGACCACGGAGGGCTGCCTGGTGATGACGGAGATGAGCGGATAGGCCCTCAGAGGAGGGGATCCTGCCAGGGAGGAAGCAGAAGGAGATAAAGGTCAGCTCAGTAGCAATATACGTATGTTGATCATACAGGTAGATGAAGACAAATAGATCAGAAGATTTTTTCCACCAGCTCTTAAGTCTACATCTTATCCTAACCACAGGCATCAGCCCTAAAAGCACACCAGAAGTTCTGCTCCAATCCTTGCAGATCAGGATGACAAATCCCAAACGTTAGAGGAAGATCTGATTCACATCAGACCTTCTAAATTCACAGCTACAGACAGATTTCTGATCAGTCTTAGCCCCAGGAAACAAAATAACCCTTTAAAGCTCTGAAATGAAATAGGATCACCTATGAGAAATGTGCACTCCTTGCAAGACTACCCTATATACAGTCTTGGGCAAGTCACCTTCTTGCTCTGTATCTCAGTTTACCTCATTTGCAAGAGGGACACAACCCTTGCCTACTTTGCTGGTGGTAAAACATGGATTAAAGCTTACTGTACATACATTTCTACAAAGTATTTTGAGATCTTCAGATAAATGGTGCCGGGCAAAGGAACATATTACACCAGCAGGCCAGATTGGGAAACTCTTAGCGTGAGATCACCACTAATGAAAATAATGATCTCTAAACCTCAGTGTGTCTATTTTAGTGAGCAATTCGTCATCGGTAGGAGAAAGGTGTTGCCACTTTGGCCTGCTGATGACCTATATTCCTTATCTTGTACCTCGGAGTGAAGGGACCTGGTCTCATACGTGAGGTCCATGGGAAGCAGCAGCACACAGGGTACATGGGAATCGTGCAGCTCCTTGGCCATCTCTTTGCCCCACAACCAGCTATGTGCAAAATCCAGCTGCTCGTGGAGCCAGCTCGGAAAACTGTTGCTAGGACACTCTGCATCTTAAGTCTTGTTTTCTCCTCCAAGTCTGCAACACCAAAAATCAAAACATTTCCATTAAATTATTCCACTTAAATCACCCAGGAATTACATGAGATGAGATCAGAATTGCTTAGCCAACCTCTGACTTGTGTAAAATGCATCTATATTTTCTTTCTGGGGATTTTTTTTTTAAACTGATGACTATGCTGATCTACAGTGTCAGCAAATAACCTGGGCCAAATTCTGCTTTGATTTACCTCCTCAAAGACAGCATAAATCAGGGCAGAGAGCTGCCCTTGGCTTTCCCTCTAATTCTGCCCTCACCGAGAGCAGCTGGTTACACAGAAGGTACAAAACGATCTGGTCTTGATAGTCTGGATCACTGCTCTGCTTCATAGAGCTACTGTAGGTAGCCTGCAAGGGGACAGGCTCCAAGCATCCCAGTCCCAACCAGCTCTCAGTTAGGAGACCCAAAACTGATGCTGTTACCATTAAGAAACAGGTCTAGTTTTACTATCTACCCTTACCCTGCTGTTACAGGGGCTGGTTCAAACCCTTCCCACCTGCCAAACCTGAAAGTTCACTCCTCTCTTTGGACACGGGTGGCTTTTTGGCACCAGTTTGCTGGTTAACTGATCCTTCTACCCTCGCACCCCCACGTGTTTCCAACGGGGCTCTCCAGAAACCGCAAGCTTGCTCAGGACTAATAAATCACTGGAGCTCAGAAACCCCTGCAAGGCTCCCAGGGACCAAAACCTCTGCAGAAAAAGCATTTTACGAGAGACTTTCTCCAAGGGAGGTCAGCAAAGGCTATTTGATAGCAGAGCAATCAAGGATATTCGCTTTCCTGCATGGCATGGGAGCAGCATGTGGGACCGCTCGGGGGGAGAGAAGGGGAGCTGCAACAGTCCCAGAGCCTGAAATCTATGTCTGTAGGAGAGGAAAGTCTCCTCACAATCAGGTAGGTTTGCTCGGGTGCAGGTTTTCCAGGATTGAGCACCTGAAAGAGGGATACTTTTCCCAAAGCAGGCAGCTGGGACCTGGCCAAGCGCTCAGAGAAGCTCAGCGGCTGCTTATTTTTGGTGCCCACGTCAAGACATTTACTGGCTTGTAGCACTTCAGTGCGTGTAGTGGTTTGCAACTGCTGAGCTCCAGGTGGTAAATACATCTGCGAGGCTCTTGACACCCAGTGTCTTGTATTTGTTTATCATTGGTGATCATTAAGAAAAGCCTTTGCTTATGGTTAGGCACCAACTGTAGCAACGGTGCTCTTAGAAACGATCATAAATAAAGAAAGCATCTGCTGACACTGATATAAGAGTGTAAGGAACTAAAGTATCAGCTCCATGTAAGACCTCACCATGTAGCTTTCTGCCCATGGCCTGTGCTTCATCCCCCAAACTAAATATTCAGAGAGATTTTCTCTTATTTGTTTCCTTTTGCAGCGCTGGCACAACCAAAAGGGACAGAGACTTTCTCCCATTTTCACCAAGAGGTTTCAGCCAGGAATGTTTCTCCCATTTTCCCTGCATCCCAGGCACTGGATATGCAGCCTTAAACACTCCCTTTCTACGGGTGCAAATGAAAGGGGTGAAGATCCAGGCATCCCCAACAAGCTCCAGATCCAGCTCCACGAGCAGGAGCGGAGGCCACTTGGTTTTCAGCCTGCAGCCAGCTCTGCTCAGCTGCTGGCAGGTTTGGATTAAACTTCTTATGACCACTGGGTATGATGCAAGAGGCACAGCACCACTGTACCGGATCGCATTGCAAAAGTTTTAATTAAAAGTAAATACTTCAAACACATCTTTTGTCCTTCTTCCCCCTCCCCGTCTTTCTTGGCTTCTTCTCAACCCTGGCAGACACAGACTAGAGGGAAGAGAAAAGGGAAAGCACTAATTAATTGCACTGTTTGACCGCCGGCAATGGCAGAAGAGTTTTCCCTCCTAGGCAAAATCAACTAATTCTGTTTTGGAAAGAAAGAAAAAGGAAGGAAAGATTTATGGATGAGCTGCTCTTGGCAGGCCTGCCCTGCTCGGAGGCAGAACGAAAGCTCGCTCCGAAGAGGCTGCAGCAAAAGGTAAATAAAAAAAGAAAATGAACTTAGGACTCAGGAAGATCGATAAATCTGCCGTCTCCCAAGTGTCAAAACAAAAGGCAAGAGAGAAGGAGTTGAGTTTGTTTAGGAAAAAGACATTTTCTGCCCATGGAGCAGGCAGAAGGGAAGCAGCAAGCCGCAGAGCAAAGCGATGCTCTGGATCAGCTGGACCACAGACCATTTGGGCTTTGCTTTAGCAATGCAGAGTGCATCAGGTTCCTCCTGAAATCAACGTTGAGCTCCACACCAAGCTCCATCCGAGGCCTGGGAAGGACGTAGAGACAGAAGGGAAGAGACAAGAAGAGCAAGGGGCTTCACAGGTTCATTGCCTCCTTGCACCCACACCAATAACCAATTCTCTCCTCACTTTTTCCACCCTTCCCATAAGACAACTGCATGGTGGATATGTATTAAGAGCCCTGTCACAGGATGGAGCTTTTGCCATATTTTGCTGTGGCTGCTGCAGGGGTGAATTTTATTTACTGCACGTCACACCTCTGGGGGTTGTGAGCTATCATCTTTGGACACCTTTCTCCACTAAGGAGAAATTCACTCATAAAATAACTATTTAAAGATTCCTTTTCCATTGCATTTTCTTTCCTTGTATTTACGACGAGCTTAAATGGAGGGAGAAGGTATTAGAACCAAAGCAAGGCAGAACTGAAGCCTTTAAATAATGGTAGCAGGCAGCCTTTCTGACAAACCAGAGGCAGAACTTGATGCTCCAGTTTTTCGGGAAGTAGGTCCCCTTCATCCATCAGTCCAAAGTGGGAAATTACTGTGCCTGAACACACGGGACAGCTTCTCACCTAGAATAAATCAGGGGAGATCTTACAGGGGAGGCTTAAATGAAACAGTGTTTAAGGAAAAAGATACTAGAGCCTTTCCAAATGCTTCAGGTGATAGAGCTTTTTTCCTACAAGGCCCTTTTTCTTTGGTTACAGCTGCAGCTAAGCAGGAGCCAACGTCTGTGCATATGAGCAGAGGTGAAGGGCACTTTCTGGGATGTTTTAAAAGCTTCCCAAAATAGTCCTGAGATTCAGCCCAAGTGCACAGAGCCAAAATTTCCATGGGAATCATGTGAGACCACGGGAAAACACAGGACCTAAGTGCAGGGCTGCAGCACTAGAGATACTCGTGATGCTCCAGGAGAGCATTCAGAGAGTCTCCTCGCAGCAAAGTCCAACTGCTCCTCATCAGAGATCACAGCTACAACTCGCACCATATCCCATTTCCAACACATCCTGCTGTTCCCCATGTGCTGGGGCCCTCAGACCTCTGCTTGAGCCCAATTTAAAAGCCACAAGTGAAATTTCCTCAGCACTCGGGGCTGTGAGATCCAGGCTTTTTTGTTCCATCCCCATTAGCATTTTATCAGCATAATGTTCCAGGATAACTTCTACATAATAACAGTAATTAATAAGTTTCAATGCAGCTGAGGCATGCACGCCAGAGGCCTTCACAAAAAAAGATAATTAATACTTACTTAATAACGACATTTGATATTTATATTGTGCTTTTTTCCCATCTTCAAGGCACTGTGCACTCAGTAGTCAGCCCAGAATAAATGAGGAGCCCAAGAAGCTCCCTGAACCAAAACACATCTCACTTCCCCCACCAAGGGCAGCCGTGTTGAACCTTGTCTAAGTTTTTTCCTGAGCGTAGGAAAGATGAAGGAAGCACCACCTGGGTGCTCCAGGGTGTTCTCCTCACACACGTCTCTCCTTCCAGACTGTCTGGCAAGCAGAGGAACGTGCCAGGACCTTGTCAGATCCTCATCGAAGACAAAAATTTATATAGAAAGAGGATCATGTTTTCCTGAAGGAGCACTTAGAGAATCCATTTGGCCGACGCTCACAAAATCCCTTGGAGGGAACGTAACAGCGTTTGGGCTTAATTTGTGGAGAATGGAGCAGATAAAACACGTGGCACTTCTCTACTTTAAATTACCTGGCTTGCTTTTTGGAAGGAAGCCTCCCTTTACTCAAATCCGTACTCTTAGCAGACCGAGTGCGGATCGGAGAGGGACTACTCCTTGTTCAA